TAAATTTTTCTTTTCATGGTGCCTCCCATTTGAGTTTAGTGTGACTCCTATTGATAAAATGTATAATGAAATATATATACATAGATGGGGTCTTTCATACGTTTATTTATGACGGAGAGATTGATCTTTTTAGTTTTGGATAATCGAAAGTTTAACTTTATTGATAATGAAGAGATTGCTAGCTATGATAATTATGTAAACTACGAGCCCAATCTTGTCGAACAAACACAAGATATTGATTGACTTATATAATATCCACATTTTGTCTGTTATTTTCTTTTTTTTTTTAATTTGAAACTCAAAATTCATATAACATTTACTTGGATTATTAATACCAGTATATTATATCACATCATTTTTACGAGTACTCAGTACACAAGTATTATAGAAAATATCTATTCTGAAGTTGTTTTGCCAAATGATGATAAAATAAATATATCTCATGTTGAAATAGTAAAGACCTTGTATGAATTGATCCTTCATAATGTTCTATATGTACCATGTTTCAACTTCAATCTTATATCTATTCGAAGATTAATTCAGGACTTAAAATGCTATCTCATTTTATCACATCAACTTTGCGTGATATAGAACCATTCTATTTGTGTCATGTTTTAACTTTAATTTTATATGTATTAAATAATTAACGTAAGACTTAAAATGTTATCTCATTTTCTTACAACAACTCTGCGTGATGTAAAACCTTTTGACTTAGAAGACAATTAGAGTGTGTGAAATCAAATATGGTTTACATAGTTGCATCAACATAAAATGTCATTCTCCAAGTCTAGCTAGGCATTATCTGCAACAATTCCTTCCAACAATAGTCAAAGTGAAGTTTTTTATCTTTGGCATTTCTACTTAACACATTTTTCATTGCGTGTATATGAGTATGTTACAAATGTATCAAATGAACCAAAATGTATGCCTTGTTATGCTTGTCAGCTTGCTAAATTGCTTAAGTTTTCATTTAATTTTGATATCATATATTATGACTTCGGGGGTTTGCAGTAAAGTCTCCTATGAGGAATATCACTATTGCTCGCTATTATAAACGATTTCTAAATATGTAATTGGATTTATTTATTTAAATTTGAATTAAAGCATGACTTAACTTGCAAAGTTTTTGCACATTTATACAAACACAGAGTGATAACGAAAAATAGTTTGAAATAAAAGGTTTTTTCGTAGAGGAGAGAATAATTTATCAAAGTTGTGTTAAGATAGTAGAGCAAAACAAAAAAATAGAGAAAATACATTAGTAAATCTTGAATATTATCGAAACCAAAAAGTTCTAAAATAGGCTTAATCTAAAAAATATTGGAGAGATTTCATCCTTAGTGCAATATATTTGATAGACAAAATACATACACCTAATAGTTTTCGAATATTTGGGGCCTTTGTTTCCATTTTAGTCAACAACATATACAAGTTTGATTCGAGAGCAAGAAGATTGTATTCTTGGAATATCCATTTAGAATCAAGAGATACGTGCTTATGAAACATGAAAATATGGTCTTCCATAAGAACATCTTCCCTCGCAAATTCACAACTAATAGTACTACTGTTGCCGATCGTATGATTTCAAATTGCCTGTTACACGAAACCACAACATACGTATATTAATAAACAAAATAATAAAAGACCTAAATTAGAATATATTTTTTTAACTTGCATAATTAATTATGAATTTTATATATAAATCTAAAAAAAGTTCAAGAGGCTTGAGTTTGTACAATCAATACGCTTTGAAAATAAATTATTAAATTAGTTCTCGAAGTTAATACTTATTATAATTTGATTTTTAATCTTTTTCGATTACAATTCAGTCCTTTATATTTCTCGTTTTGCTTCTAACTTCTACATTCCTTCTATTTCCTAATTTAAAAAGTTGGAATTGGTTAAATCATATTCATACACTTTAAAGAACAATTTAAAAAAATAATTTTGACTAATTGATTAAGTTAATAAATCAATTAATTACTAATTTGTTCTTATTAATATATTAATTTAATTAATTAATTAATTAAAGACATTTTTTAAAATAATTCTTTAATATCCAAATATGGTCTAATTAATTTTTATTTTTTAATTAAAAAATGGAATAAAATAGTACTAATTAGCAAATTTCATAAACTACTAACAAAAAAAAAAAAAAAAAAAAAAATTAGTGTCTACCGTAGGTCCACATGCAGCAGATCCTGTCCTCCGTGTGACATTAACTATCAGTTACTTAGGGTTGTTCCAGTTTGGCCACCAACTGTACCATCCAAAATACTAGCGTAACCATTCATCTTTCCTGAACCTCCATCCGTCTAACAAATCACAGCTTGCCACGTGACCTCCGACCGCAGTACGCTGACGTGGTTCTCTCCTATTGGTTTCTTTAAAAGTCTGCGATGTAGAGGAATAAAACCCTGACTCGGCGAACTGAACTAAGAGAAAATTTGCGTGCGTTGAAAATCCCTCAATTAAATCGCCAACGCTAAAGAGAGCAACCCGAAAATTAGAATTAAAAAAATAATAATAATAAAAAGAAAAATAGAAAGAAACTGTCAAGCTGTTTCTCAGTTTCTCCGCCACATTCCCACATCTCCTTCTTCTCTTCTGTATAAATTTTCATTTTTCTCTCTGCTTCTCTTCTCCCATTCTTCGTTTCCTCTCTTTCCCAGTCTCTCTGAATCTGAATCTGAAGGAGTTGTCCGGCGTCTGGGAATCCAATGGCTGCAATTTTCCAGGGAGTGGGAGCTGCTACTGCTTTATCACATTCCAAGAATTTCAATCCTCGATTCGTTTCTGGTTTGTTCTAAGTTTCTTGCTACCTTTTATTTATAATCTGTTTTAAATTGAACAAGCAATGTATTTTGGTCTACTCTCTTCTCTCGCTTTGAATTCAGTGATTTGTAACTTACAACCGTCCAACCGATATAATGACACAATTTCTGCGATTAGTGTTTCTTCAGTAAATTGAGAAATTAGGATCGGATGTTATCGCTTTTTTTTTTTTTTTTTTTTTTTTCTTCTTTTGATTTTCTTTTTCCCGTGTTTTCTAACGAATCAAATAGAGATTGCTTGTAGCTTGGCATCCTTTTATGACGCAGGAAATTTATCTTATTTCTTCTTTGATTTCATTCAGCTAGGAAGGCGAGTTTCGTTGTTGTCAGATCTGATGCGAACGTCAAATTTGGTTCTAATCTGAGAGGTCGCAAGGCAGAGCAATTCACCACTAATGCTGTTGCAGTTAATTATCGCACTGCCTTTCCTTATATTTTCCTCTAGCCTTTTAATCTTTGGCTTGCATTTCTTTTTCTTTTATTTCATTTAATTCCTTAGGTTTTGAATTTTTGGCGTTAATTTTCATGGCCTTGTGGTTTTGTAGACGAAGGCCGATAATTCTGCGATTTCTTCAACTTCAAAACCTGGGTATGCTTTTTCTATTCCAATTCTTGATTGTTTGAAATAAAAACTACTATAGTGCTAGCTATTGTATTAGCTTGTGAGATGCTATTGCTGATTTAATATTTCTATACATCTGATTTCAAGAAATAAGTAGCTACCCGATGCTATTACTGGCTCATTTCTGTATAGAACGTTACATATCCTGATTGTTTTTTCCTTTACGCTTACAAGACTGTTTGTTTGATTTTGACTGATAGTGTTGGCCTTTCCATATTTCTGTTTGGTATTGGAGCTTGACTTCCTAAATTTAAACTCTGTAGATCACACTCTCTCCTGGTTGCCCAGAATTGGGCGTTTGTGTAAAGCCTGTTGTCTGTGTTGGTTCACCAGCTCAGATTTGAGTTTGCTATGCTTTATATTCTGCACTTATGCATGAGAGGAAATGTTAAAATATAAATAATGAATCTGGAAATTGATTCTGTTATCTAAGCGTTCAAGATAATTGGTAATCATATGAAATATTCAATTGATAGGTTATGGAATTTTCTTTTAATTTCATCAATTACTTATTGAAAATTTCAAAATCATGCTACATCTTGAAAGAAGGGTGAAAAGGGAACCCTGTTTCTCTCTTCTCTGCTAGCCACTTTTTCTTATTCCTTATAATCTCTGAAATTCTTTTTGTAGGTTTTGGGATTAATACTATATTACATATGTTTCTTAATTATAGTCTTTGGAGAATCTTATTTCTAAATCATTTTTTGATGGCTGTGACATTGATGGTCTTTAATGTACTTTTTCTGTTGATCTTGGTCTCAACAGAACGAGCATTTCTCGCTAAAAAGATTATTAGATATAGTGGCTATGCTCTAGCCTTTTCACCCTAAGTCAAGGATTAGAATTTAGAATTAGCTAAACTTTGTCATCTGATGCCAAGTATTCAAATATGCTACATTATGCGTGGTTCAGTTCACATTCAATCCTTACTTCTAATTTCCATATTATGCTTGGTGTCGTAATCAAAACATAAGATTAGTAATTTCTATTTCTAAGTTCTCTATTAGGCATTGTGTCGTAATCAGAAGAAAATTTTTATTTTTTTAATCTACCACAATCCCGACTTGAATTCCTTGATGCTAGGGATTCTACTGTTACCTTCTAAGGTGGGAGTTGAATTCCCACCATCACGGGATTCAAGATGGTGATGGTGGTAATGTAAACACAATAAAATGTTAATTGTGCGTATCAAGGCTAATATAAACTTTTAACTAGAACCAGCTGCAACGATAGTATTCTTCCTACTAGCTTGATTTATCTGTTCTTCAATCTATAAAATATTGCTGATTGATGAGCTTTGGGTTCAATAATTAATTACTTGGTTAAAAAATGTGGCATCTATAATCATATGTTGCTAGTTTGGTTGGATATCATCATGTTGAACTACTTGAACCTTTACTGCCCGGATTAACTGTTATGTTCAAGCAAAAATTGTACCGTGTTTTCAATATTTCTATGTTGGGCTTCATTCATAGCAATGCTTTCCAATCTCATTTTCGGGGTAAACTGCATCTTTTTGTGTCATCAAAACTAGTCCTGAGCTATAGTATTTGTTACATCTTGCCAAGTGGTTGCCTGCATTAAATTTTTCTTTTGGCTTTCCTTTCTGTACTTGTCACTCCTTAATTGCCAAAAAATCGTGTTTTTCTTCATAAGTGAATTCAAATACATAGTTTGCCAGGATCCCTCAAACCCACAGTGATCTACTTGTTGAATTTTTAGAACTGATTCATGGTAAGGATTTGCTAGGGTTTGTTTTGGTTCTCGATCCAAATATCAAAAATTTGGGACCCGAAATTAAGAAGGATTCAACAAAGTTGGTTGAGTAAGATTCTAAAGATAGGGGAAAGGAAAAAGACTGAAGAGAGAACAAAAATTTTACATTTAAAAAGACTTCCTTTCAAAATTGAATTGAGATTAGTTACGGGTAAAATGAAACAGCAAGGTGTCCAAATGTAGAGCAAGAGTCCTTCCACTAGTGCTTTCTTGTTGGGAATTTAAAATATATTGATTATCTTCTTTAAAAGCCTGTAATACAGTAATAATTTCTTTTGGAATTTGTAAAATAATTATTGGTACTTTTGTTGTAACTACAAAAAGAATTGGAAACCTAGATCTCTTTTCATAGAAAAATGATCAAGTGCCAGTGGAGATGTATGACTACAGTATAGCATATGATTGTAATAATGAAACTAGTAAGTAATTTGATGGAACTCTGAATCAAAATAATGTACTAGCTAAGTCTACCCTCCTTCAAACATAAATTTAACATCTATCTTCATACCTGTATTTTGTACCACCATCTGAGTGCACTGCATTTTGGTGACTATTTTCCTGCATCTTTGGCACATGTGATTTGAACCGACTTTAAGATGAATTTTCTTTATCTTGTTGTCAATTCATGCCTTACCAACATCTCATGGACCTGGACATTTCCTAGTTTATGTTTCTTTTGATTTACCTGGCCTCATATTCATGTTAATATAGCCAATTCTTATTCCCTCCTTAACTTGCATTCATTTTTCATGAGAAATTAATCAAATGATCTCTGACGAATCTGCGTAGTTGGATGGAGGCAATTTAGTACAACCTTAATTTTCTGTACTTCTATCCCTTTGTGTAGTTGTCGTGTGTTCATATTGGTTGATATATACACTCTTCCAGACATGAACTTCTGCTTTTTGAGGCCCTGCAAGAAGGCTTGGATGAAGAGATGAACAGAGATCCTTGTGTATGTGTTATGGGCGAAGATGTGGGCCACTATGGAGGCTCATACAAAGTGACCAAAGGCCTAGCAGAGAAGTATGGGGATCTTAGGGTTCTTGATACACCTATTGCAGAGAATTCTTTCACTGGTATGGGCATTGGAGCTGCCATGACTGGACTGAGACCTGTTGTTGAGGGTATGAATATGGGATTTCTTCTCCTTGCATTCAACCAGATCTCTAACAACTGCGGAATGCTCCACTATACATCTGGTGGCCAGTTTAAAATACCAATAGTTATTCGTGGACCTGGTGGAGTTGGCAGGCAACTAGGGGCTGAGCACTCACAACGTCTTGAATCATATTTTCAGTCTATTCCTGGTATCCAGATGGTTGCATGCTCAACCCCTTATAACGCCAAGGGCTTGATGAAAGCTGCAATCAGAAGTGAGAACCCAGTGATACTTTTTGAGCATGTTTTGCTCTACAACCTTAAGGAGAGAATTCCAGATGAAGAATATATCTGTAACCTTGAGGAAGCTGAAATGGTCAGGCCTGGGGAGCATGTTACCATTTTAACCTATTCCCGGATGAGGTATCATGTAATGCAGGCTGCCAAAACTTTGGTGAACAAAGGTTATGATCCTGAAGTAATTGATATCAGGTCTTTGAAACCATTCGACCTTTACACCATTGGGAACTCCGTTAAAAAGACACATCGTGTTCTGATTGTGGAGGAGTGCATGCGAACTGGCGGTATTGGTGCTAGCTTGACAGCCGCTA